AAAATTAGCTGGGCATGGTGGCACGTGCTTGTAATCCCAGCTACTCAGGAGGCTGAGGCAGGAGAATTGCTTGAACCCAGGAGGCAGAGGTTGCGGTGAGCCGAGATCGCGCCATTGCACTCCAGCCTGGGTAACAAGAGCGAAACTCAAAAAAAAAAAAAAAAAAGAAAAAAGAAAATAAGAATTAGAGATCCATATATCACAATCCAGAATTAATCAGTATCTTCACATATTTACTTGCAGTCTTTTTTTTTTTTCCAGCTAATCTAATTCTTATTTTCTATACTTTTCTGTATTTTTAAAATTTCTCAGAATTAGTAAGAATGAGGGTGAGGATGGGAACACTGTACCTGTGGAAATCATGCTGTAATAATTCATTCCTGGCCGGGTACAGTGGCTCACGCCTGTAATCCCAGCACTTCGGGAGGCCAAGGTGAGTGAATTGCCTGAGCTCAGGAGTTTGAGACCAGCTTGGGCAACATCCTGAAACCCCGTCTCTACTAAAAATACAAAAAAATGAGCTGGGTGTGGCCGCATACGCCTGTAATCTCAGGTACTCAGAAGGCTGAGGCAGGAGAATCATTTGAGCCTGGGAGCAGCGGTTGCAGTGAGCCAAGATCGGGCCATTGCACTCCAGCCTGGGCGACAGACTGAGACTCTGACTCCATTAAAAAAAAAAAAAAAATTATTCCCAATCAAAAACTACATTTGTATAGAAAATATTTCTAAAATTTTACCAACAATGAGTAGATGGACTTGCTCCGTATATAACATGAAATTATCCATTTTTTTACATTCAAAATGAAGGCTGGGCATGGTAGCTCATGGCTATAGTCTTTCTTCTTTAGGAGGCTGAGGTAAGAGGACAATTTGAGTCCAGGAGTTTCAGACCAGCCTGGGCAACATGATGAGACTCCATGTCTACAAATAATTTAAAAATCAGCCACAGTGCCAGGCGCGGTGACTCATGCCTGTAATCCCAGCACTTTGGGAGGCCAAGGTGGGTGGATCACCTAAAGTCAGGAGTTCAAGACCAGCCTGACAAACATGATGAAGCCCCATCTTTACGAAAAATACAAAATCAGCTGGGTGTGGTAGCACATGCCTGTAATCCCAGCTACTCAGGAGGCTGAGGCACAAGAATCGCTTGAACCTAGGAGGTAAAGGTTGCAGTGAGCCACGATCACACCATTGGACTCCAGCCTGGGAAACAAGAGCAAAACTCCATCTCAAAAAAAAAAAAAAAAAAAAAAAAAAAAAATTAGCTGCTCTGAGACATGATTGCACCACTGCACTCTAGCTTGGGCAACAGAGTAAGACCCTGTTTCAAAAATAGATGGCAAGATTAAATTGAAAAATAAGCAAGAAAAACAAAATAAGTAGGTAAAAACCACAGCCAAAAAGAGAGAGAGAGAGAGAAAGAGAGAGAGAGAAAGGAAAAAAAAAAAAAAAAGAGACAGAGAGAGAAAGAAAAGAAGAAGAAAAAAGTACCATGATCATTTCTAGGGTAACCTGATGGAATTATCAAGATAATTATGCAAGACAAAATAAATAAATAAGTAATAAGTAAAACCACGGCAAAAAAAAAAAAAAAAAAAAAAAAAAAAAAAAAAAAAGAAAAGTGCTTTGATCATTTCCAGGGTAAACTGATGGAATTATCAGGATTTCACAGTAGAATTAATTTGATTAAATTTACAGCTGTGGAAGAGGTGGAGTCTGCATGAGCTGATTGAATTTGAGGCCTCTAGTGTGTTTAAGGACTCAGGTCATAAGAGCAAAACTGAGTTCAAACCTAGTATCTGTATTTGATTCTGTGACCTCCTGCAAATATCTAATATTTCTAAGACTCAGTTTTCGCTTTACATGGTAACAATGATAAAATCCACTTCCTAATACTGGTGAGGGTAAAACTCGCTAATTAATGTCCATTGTTTCCCTGCGCAGTGATTGCATTAATGTCCGGAGGCCGCTAGTAGGTCACTCACTCACTCAGTCTATACAGGCGATAGGTCGCTGTTGCCCTGGGCTCCGCCCCTAGGGGTGTGGTTGACCAAAGACGCATATATAAAATCCCAGGCCCCAGAAGGAAGCCAGCAGTTGCAGAGTGAGCTCCTCTCTGTCTGCAAGTAGCGAAATACCCGGCCTGCAATTCAGGTCCATTTCTGGTGAGTCTGTGCCTCCAAACGCAAGGGCAAAGGTCAGTGTCATGAGATGATAGGTCTGAAACTCAAAGCTTTAAGAGTCCAGAATGCTAGCAAGGGAGCCCACTAATAGGGGAGGGCAGACAGGCGTCTAAAATGGTTCATTTACTGAGGACCATTTTCACCTCCACGAGCCTGCCCTGCTCAGGGCTTTCCTTTCGCCAGACAGCCGAGGGGTCTGCTGAGGAGGCTGTGGCTGTGATTCCTGGTTGGGGTGGGGGGTCTCTCGAGGGCACCCGAAGATCTTTCTATCACATTGGCAGGAGCCCAGGACGAGATCGTGGTCTGGTCAAAGACTCATGGAAGTATACGACGCTACGCCCATGAGTCAGCGGGTACTGAGTGGGTTGAGCTGAATTATTAGAGATCCAGAGAAGGAGGCATAGCCCGTCGGCAGGACTGTCAGGGTTTTTTTGTTTTGTTTTGTTTTTTGAGGCAGAGTCTTGCTCTGTTGCCCGGGTTGGAGTGCAGTGGCACGATCTTGGCACACTGCAACCTCCACCTCCCAGATTCAAGCAATTCTCGTGCCTCAGCCTCCCCAGTAGCTGAGACTACAGATGAGCACCACTTCGCCCAACTGGTTTTGTTGTCGTATTTTTGATAGAGACAGAGTTTCACCATTTTGACTAGGCTGGTCTCAAACTCCTAATCTCAAGTGATCTGCCTGCCAGCCTCCAAAAGTGCTGACATTACAGGCTTGAGCCACCATGCCCAGGCAGGGGACTATCGTTTTCATAATTCCTTAAACTGAGGGGGAAATCTGTTTTTTTGAGGGCCAGAAGCTTTAGGGACCAGAAGCAGAGCTAGAGCAGATGGAGTGGGAATCAGTCCTTTACTGGGTTCCTGTTTTCTGAGGTTCCCAGTGGGATCCATCAGGCCTTGCTCAGGATGAAATAAAGTTCTGCTCAGAGGAGCTTCTAGTCCAGTGCTGGAGAGAAAGGGTAGACAGGAGTTAAGCTGTCACAAGGGCAGGAATGGTGGGAAGCAAAGTGTAAGAGTAAGATGCTATTAGAGGCTGATTTTTAAAGTTTATGTTTTTGTTTTTTAGAGAGGAGGGGGTCTTGCTATCTTGCCCAGCTTCCGCTGTGGCTTAATCATCTCCCTTCTTCTAAGGGTGCCTCCTTCTAGTTCTTGGGAAATTCCACTTATTTCCAGTCATAAATATATATATTTATATATGTATATGTTATATATATATTTATTTATATATATATGACAAAATATATATTCTATATATAATATACATATTATATCATATATCAAAGCCAATTTTGGGTTTTCTAAATTTTTCTCTCTATATGTACACATATATATTTAAAGCCATCTATCATTTCTATGATTTGATATGGAAGGGAAGGACTTCATGGTCTCCTCAATCCACCACATTCAGTAGCCGTCCAGTCACACGTTTTGAATCTGTGTAAATTCTGAGAGTCAGGACAAGGCAGGAGGGACCAGGCTTTGATGGCAGAGACAGGAAAGGAGAACTTTTAGATAAGATACCTTGGCTGGGTAGGGCAGACTGAGCAATGGACTGGATAGGGACATGGCAAAACTGAGTGGACTGATCCAGCTAGAGCAGGACAAAAGCAGGGAAGAGGCGCCCGGGATGAAAAAGATGTGAGGCTACCAAGATGGTGGCTTTGAGGAGCTCGTTGTAAACTTGACACTTTTCTTGCAGATCATGGGGGGCAGAGAAAATAATAAATAAATAAACAAACAAACTTGGTATCAGACATAGGAAGCCTAGAAGCATGGATGGCCACTCTAAGCAGAAATATAAACCTTGTCCATATGCATGGCTAGGCCTCTGTCTCCAAGAAACTGTTTCGTGGAATGTGTCTTAGTCTGTTCCGTCCAGGTGCTGGTAGATTCAGGATCTGGTGAGGGCATGCTTTCTGGTTCATAGATGGCACCTCTTAGCTGTGTCCTCACCTGGTAGAAGTAAAGAACTCTGCCCCTCAGCCCCTTAGAACATTCATCTCATTCTTGAAGGCTCCGTCACCTAATCATCTTCCAAAGGTCCCACCTTCTAATCCAATCACACTGGGAATTAGGTTTTAATATGTGAAATTTGGAGAGACACAAACATTCAGTCCATAGTAGAATGGTTCCTGGAAGCTGGTGGTTTCCAGGGTGGTTCTCAGGAGGCCAGAATTACTGGATGCCCCCAGGGAGCTCTCTGGGAGAAATGTCCCCATTTAGCCAGGGGTCTGTGAGGACCCAGAGCCAGATAGGTCCAGTACAAGTTAAGAGTCTTCTGCCTAGGCCAAGTCAATTCACCTCCCTGGACTTCTATTTTCCTTAAAATGGGATTAATCATTACTCTTATTTTCTAGGATTACGGTGGAAACGAAATGAGAGAATTTATTTGAAAATTTAATCAGTTAGCTGAATCTCCAGTAAGGTATCTGGAGAGAAGACTTTGGAAAAGTCTCTGGGGTAAGATCTCTTCAGAGGATGATGGGACACTCACAACATTCATCTAAACTCTCACCTCCATTGGTAGATAGGGGTACCTTAGTAAACGTTTACACCTGAGAAATGTTTGCGCTTTTAAAATGTTACTGTGTGTGGAGGGTACACTGGAGGAAGCTAACTCTAGAGTCAGTTGAGAGGCAATTACAGGCTTCTGGGCAACAGATGACGGGGGGCTGGATTAGGATAGGGTCAATAGGGATGGAGAAGGAGGGTATGTGAGGATTGGAATTTGAGCTGGGATGAACCCCTGACCTATTAACTTTTTTGCAGGATCCCATAACTAAAGATCTAGTTCAGTCATCAGCCAACAGCAAAGAGATGGATTCCAGTCTCCTCCAGGAAATTGAGAAAATTAGTAATTTTTTCCAGCGTCTCTCTGAGCAACATATAAAACAGGCAGAAACTCCAGATGCACCAGAACCACAGTGCTGTATGCCTCTGCCCGCCCACGCTGAGGAGAGCCGACACGAGTCAACGCAGAGCAAAACCATGCCTCCCGTGGAGCTCACAATGACTTCTGCATGCACTAACCTCCCTGGGACAGTTCCCACCCAGGACTTAACAGTGCACCTTCTTAAAGCCCTTGAGATGTCCCCTGAAGACCTAAGTGAGACTCCTTCCATGGGCCAGAAAGTGACTTCCTTTGATCAGATAAAACACACAGCCGGTTCTCAGATGACATATGTTACTGACACCCCAAAGACATCACCCACTGATTGCCTGAAGACAACCATCACTACAAGCAACATGACAATCTCCAGTGAAGGTAGCCTAAGCAGTGACCAGACCCTCAGTGAGAGTCAAACACAAGCCCTGTGTGGAGATCAAATGAAGACCCTCAGTGATGACCAGACTCTCTATAGGGACCAGATGACCTCCAGTAGTGACCAGACCCTCACTGATGGCCATACAGGGACTTCCAGTGGCGATGAGGCCCTCTCTGAGGGCCAGATGATAACCAGCCTAGGCCTCTATGGAGGGCAAATGATCACTTCCATTGATAACCAGACCCTCTGTGGGGAGCAGACAACAACCTCCACTCATAACCAGGCCCTCTACCAGGGGCAGGTGACAACCTCCACTGATAACCAAGTCCTCTGTGGGGAGCAGACGATGACCTCCACTGATAACCAGACCCTCTGTGGGGAGCAGACCATGACCTCTACTGATAACCAGGTCCTCTACGAGGGGCAGGTGACGACCTCCACTGGTAACCAGGCCCTCTGTGGGGGACAGATGACAACCTCCACTAATAACCAGACCCTCTACGGGGGACAGGTGACGACCTCCACTGGTAACCAGGACCTCTATGGGGGACAGATGATGACCTCCACTGATAACCAGGCCCTCTATGGTGGACAGGTGACAATCTCCACTGATAACCAGGCCCTCTATGGGGGACAGGTGACGACCTCCACTAGTAACCAGACCCTCTACGGGGGACAGGTGATGACCTCCACTGGTAACCAGGCCCTCTATGGGGGACAGATGACGACCTCCACTGATAACCAGGCCCTCTACGGTGGACAGGTGACGATCTCCACTGATAACCAGGCCCTCTGTGGGGGACAGATGATGACCTCCACTGATAACCAGGCCCTCTACGGTGGACAGGTGACGATCTCCACTGATAACCAGGCCCTCTATGGGGGACAGGTGACGACCTCCACTAGTAACCAGACCCTCTACGGGGGACAGGTGATGACCTCCACCGGTAACCAGGCCCTCTATGGGGTACAGATGACGACCTCCACCGATAACCAGGCCCTCTACAGTGGACAGGTGACGATCTCCACTGATAACCAGGCCCTCTGTGGGGGACAGATGACAACCTCCACTGATAACCAGGCCTTCTACGGGGGACAGGTGATGACCTCCACTCATAACCAGACCCTCTACGGGGGACAGGTGACGACCTCCACTCATAACCAGACCCTCTATGGGGGACAGGTGACGAACTCCACTAGTAACCAGACCCTCTATGGAGGACAGGTGACGACCTCCACTAGTGACCAGGCCTTCTACGGGGGACAGATGACGACCTCCACTAGTAACCAGACCCTCTGTGGGGGACAGGTGACGATCTCCACTAGTAACCCGACCCTCTACGGGGGACAGGTGATGACCTCCACTGGTAACCAGGCCCTCTGTGGGGGACAGATGACGACCTCCACTGATAACCAGGCCCTCTACGGGGGACAGGTGACGACCTCCACTGGTAACCAGGCCCTCTGTGGGGGACAGATGACAACCTCCACTGATAAGCAGACCCTCTACGTGGGACAGGTTACAACCTCCACTAGTAACCAGGCCCTCTACGGGGGAAAGGTGACGACCTCCACTGATAACCAGACCCTCTACGGGGGACAGATGACAACCTCGACTAGTAACCAGACCCTCTACGGGGGACAGGTGACGACCTCCACTGATAACCAGGCCCTCTGTGGGGGGACAGATGACGACCTCCACTGATAACCAGGCCCTCTGCGGGGGACAGATGACGACTTCCACTGATAACCAGGCCCTCTGCGGGGGACAGGTGATGACCTCCACTGGTAACCAGGCCCTCTGCGGGGGACAGGTGACGACCTCCACTGGTAAGCAGGCCCTCTGCGGGGGACAGGTGACGACCTCCACTGGTAACCAGGCCCTCTGCGGGGAACAGGTGACGACCTCCACTGGTAACCAGGCCCTCTGCGGGGGACAGGTGACGACCTCCACTGGTAACCAGGCCCTCTACGGGGGACAGGTGTTGATCTACACTGGTAACCAGGCCCTCTGTGGAAGCAACATGGCAATATATAGTGACAACTCGACCCTCTCTGGGGGCCATATGCTGACCCTTCAGGCAGGCAATATGACAACCCTCACTGGTGACCACAGCCTTTATGGGGGATATATGACATCCTGTCAGCCCTCATTGTCATACCCAGGATTCCTATGCTTTTCAAGTTCCCATTTGATTCAAGGACAAGTCTCAGAAAAGCAGAAGACCCAGAGCAGCCAGTTCTGGAAGAATCCTAAGATTTCGAAGCCCTTCATCTGCCCACATGAGGACTGTAAGAAGTCTTATTCAAAGGCTTGCCACCTTCCGAACCCACATGCGTAAGCACACTGGTGAGTGAGGGCCCAGGAACAGGGGTGAGGGGCGAGTGGCTAGAGATTTGTGCCTTTACAAAGCTCTGGGAGCATTTGAGATTGCTGCCACTTCCCCAGGGACCCAAGAAGATTCTATAATAAAAGGTTGGCACCTTTAGAAGGGTGGATAAAGCGGTCCTAGGGACAGTCCTGGACCAGAGCCAGGCTGGCTGCAGCCTTTAGGGGTGTTGACTGCTGGTTTGATGGGAATCAGTGGAGGGATTTCTTTGGCCCCTTGCAGACAGATGTTCTTGACACTATTCTACTGGGGACCTGTCACTTCATAGACCTCCTCTCTAGGGCCCCTGGGCCTCCATTTTCCTCGTCATCCTCCTTATTCCCTTCACTAACTTGCCTGTCAATAACTGTCTCTCCTCCTGTTTTTTTTTTTCTTCTTCCTTTTCTTTCCTCTTCTTCCCGCCTTCAGTTTTCCTCTTATCTCTCCAGCTTTTGCAGCCCTCATTCCCCTCCTCCTTCCACTCACCTCCCCAGCTCCCATCTCCTCTGGCTCTCCCTCCCACTTCAACTTGCTCAAAAACTTTTTCTTGTTCACTTTCAATGTCCCTGCCCTTCCTCACCCTGATACATGACAGGTCTCTCTTTCTCTCTCTCTCTCTCTCTCTCTGGTCCAGGCGAGAAGCCCTTCGTATGTGACGTGGAGGGATGTACGTGGAAATTCGATTCCGCTCAGATGAGCTCAGCAGACACAAGAAAAAGGCACACTGGTGAACGGCCCTACCTGTGTCCAGTTGCAACCAGAATTTTGCACGATCTGATCACCTGAAGCAACATGCAAAGGTCCACAGCATTTGCCCAGAATTATGAACCCTTCAGCCCATGAGGAAATGTGTACGGCTAAAAGATTCTCCCTACTGACCTTGTTTCCCTTGAACAAGCTCCCCTGTTTCCCTATGCCAGTAGCTAGTAGGTGCTCGATATTATTTGTAAGTTTTCTAAAATAGACAAAGAAAATAGGTATCCATATTCACGTAAACACCAGACAACTTTCAACTTGGAACCAGAAAGCGCTCTTGGTTCATTCCCCTCTCAGGGGTAACTGCTCCTTACAGCACGCTGTGACTCCTTCAGGATCCTACTCTGCATTTACCTCTGTGTGTATTGTAAAACTGTATCTATACAGATCATTAATATTGATATTAATTTAGCTCAGAAGGTAAAAGAATGGAACGTTCTTTTTTTTTTTTTTTTTTTGTCTGTAGCTGAGCCCATGTTTCTTGGAGCTTCATTCCCATGAGGTAAAAAGGCGTGGGACTCAGTCACATCCAGGGTAAAGTTGGTCTCAGGTTAAATGGACTTTACTTAGTTGAGTACTTAGCCTATTCAGAAGTTCAACCTCAGGTGTGGTGGCTCACACCTGTAATTGCCCAGCATTTTGAGAGGCTGAGGCAGGTGGGTCATGAGGTCAGAAGTTGAAGACCAGTCTGGCCAAGATGGTAAAACCCAGTCTCTACTAAAATACAAAAATTCTCCAGGCGTGGCTGGGCGCGGTGGCTCAAGCCTGTAATCCCAGCACTTTGGGAGGCCGAGGTGGGTGGATCACAAGGTCAAGAGATCGAGACCATCCTGGTCAACCTGGTGAAACCCTGTCTCTACTAAAAATACAAAAAAATTAGCTGGGCATGGTGGCGCGTGCCTGTAATCCCAGCTACTCAGGAGGCTGAGGCAGGAGAATTGCCTGAACCCAGGAGGCGGAGGTTGCGGTGAGCCGAGATCGCGCCATTGCACTCCAGCCTGGGTAACAAGAGCGAAACTCCGTCTCAAAATTATCCAGAGGTGGTGGTGTGCACCTGTAATCCCAGCTGCCCGGGAGGCTGAGTTGGGAGGATCACTTGAGCTCAGTAGTTGCAGTTGCAGTGAGCTATATTAGCACCAGTGCACTCCAGCCTGGGTGACAGAGCAAAACCCTGTCTCAAAAGATAAAGATACTGTATAATATTATGTGTGAAATATATTGAATAAGATATTAAGTTATAAGTAGAAAAAATGAGTAACTTTAAGAGCTTTTCAACCAGGTCATGCAATCAGGTGTTGAGATGGCCAATTAGGACAATGAGCCAGATGAAAAGGAAGATCAGACTTATTTACTGATGGCTACAGAGCAGATGAACAGACGGCCTTAGCCACGACCCAAATAAAGAGGTTTCTCTGAATGGAAGCACCTGAGCTAGAAACGCAGCTGTGCATCTGAGCACAGCTGGCCGTGTGGTGGTGGGTGCGGTGACAGTTCTCCAGTATCCTTGGATTGACCCAGGGCCCCCCCTTTCTCACTGGAGTCCTCAAGATAACTGTAGACTGTGCTGGGACTGCAATACCCTGAATAAGGAGAAATTAGCTGGAAAAGCCTGGGCTCTGTTCCCTTCCCCCTAGAAGCACACCGTCCTTCAATGACTCACTTAAACCCAGGGCATAAAACTCTGGGGGGCTTGCTTGCTGGGGTCTTCGGCTGTGTTACAAGTGGAGCACAGGCAGTGAAGACGCCATCCACCCTGGGCAGCTTTCCTGAGCCTTGGGGGACTAACTCCCAATGAATCCTTGATTGCTGTTCCTTGCTTCCTGTTAGTAATAAACCTATTTTATTTAACTTGCTGTGTGTATGTGTGTCATTGGATCTCAGTGGACTCAGACAAGCTGATAACCAGTGCACAGTGAACCTGCCTTACGGTGGGGATGCTGAGTCCTTGACATCCTTTCAGAAAAACTGCTGTGTACCAAGTCTGGTGAGCTCCCTTACCCATCTTTCTATCTATCTTCTAGAATTAATGACTACCCTGAATTTTGTATATATAAATTCCTTTGATGCATTTATTAAAAATGCAGGTATTCAAAGATAATTTATAGGTTGTTTATTTTGAACTTCATAAAGATTATGCTAAGATACAGTCTTCTGGAACTTGTTTTCACCACAACGTTATATCTCTAAGATTTCATCCATGTTATTACTAAGACCAATGAAAATAATCCATCACAACCCCAAACAAAACTTCTCTACATTGTCAACACACCAGGGTGGGGGCGGGGAGTGAGAAACCAAAGGAAGATGAGGATGCACTGGAGTCTTCCATGAAGTACAACTACAAAAAGAAAACAGTACAGCTGTTCCTCATTATTCAGATCTACTCTGCTGGATCATGAATTTTTAGACTAAAGGAGTTTTTATTCCATTAACCTAAATATGAAAAATAGTGACATGTTCTCAACCCATCCAAAAACCCCAACCATTTCCTCAAATTTCACTACAACCCTTACATAATAATAAACTCGGCCAGGCGTGGTGACTCACGCCTGCGATCCCAGCACTTTGGGAGGCCAAGGCAGGCAGATCACCTGAGGTCAGGAGTTCAAGACCAGCCTGACCAACATGGAGAAACTCCATCTCTACTAAAAACACAAAATTAGCTGGGCGTGGTGGTGCACACCTATAGTCCCAGCTACTCGGAAGGCTGAGGCAGGAGAATCACTTGAACCCGGGAGGTAGAAGTTGTGGTGAGCTGAGATTGTGCCATTGCACTCCAGCCTGGGCAACTAGAGTGAAATTCCATCTCAAAAAAAGAGAAAACTTAAAATACATTAGTAGACATGGTAGTACACAGGATACAAAGACACCATGCAGTACTGGATGCCAGTTACTGCTGGGATTATAGGCATGAGCCATCACACCTGACCCTATTTGCTGAATTTTGACAAGCTGATTCTAAAGTTTATGTGGAAATACAAGTCAGTGGAAAAACAAACTCGTTTGCTCCTACTAGACTCCCTTTTTAATTTTATTCCCACTCCCACTCCCTCCGTTTCTCGTACTAGGCTCTCCACAACTACACTTCTTGACACCAGGTGTGTGAGGATTTTCCCCCACACTCAAGCAAGCAATTAATTCTGCACCAGACCACCAACTGAATATCCTTCAACTCAATTCAATTCTGAAGCTACCTGGAGATTATGTGAGATCCCCCAGGGTGAGGACTCAGGCCCAAAAACTGACCCCAACTTCCTATGCCAAACTGCGAGCCTCACATTGTTTTACCTGTGCTCTAACCGGCTATAAGTCAGAGTTCCCACAGCCTCCTCCTTCGGCCGATTGATTGATAGAAGGCTCGCAGAACTCAAAGGCCGGGCACAGTGGCTCACACCTGTAATCCCCGCACTTGGGAGGCATAGGGGGTTAGATCACCTGAGGTTAGGAGTTCAAGACCAGCCTGGCCAACATGATGAAACTGCATTTCTACTAAAAAATACAAAAATCAGCCAGGCATGGTGGTGGGCACCATTGATGGGTATCTTGGGTTGATTCCATGTCTGTTATTGTGAATAGTACTGCAATAAACTTATGTGTGCATGTGTCTTTACGAAAGAACGATCTCTACTCCTTTGGGTATCTACCTAGTAATGGGATTGTTGGGTCAAATGGTAGTTCTGTTTTTAGGTCTTTGAGGAATTGCCACACTGCTTTCCACAATGGTTGAACTAATTTACTCTCACCAGCAGTGTATAAGATTTTCTTCCCAACCTTGCCGGCATCTTTTTTTTTCTTTGTTGTGTTTTTTTTTTTTTAATAAAGATAGGGGTCTCATTATGTTGGTTGGTTTGGTCCTGAACTCTTGGCCTCAAGCAATCCTCCCATCTCACCCTACCAAAGTGCTAGGATTACAGGTGTGACCTACTGCACCTGGCCTATTTTTTTTTTCTTTTTAAATCTTTTTTATATTTTTTTGTTTCAGAAAGAATGGCCTATTTTTGACTTTTCAGTGAGCCATTCTGACTGGTGTGAGATGGCATCTCATTGTGGTTTTGATTTGAAAAACAGGAAATGCCTCATAAATTTGCATGTCATCCTTGCATAGGGGCCATGCTAACCTTGTCTGGATCATTTCAATTTTAGTGTATGTATTGCTGAAGGGAGCACCAAATATATTTTTCATGACCAAGAAGATAGAGGAAAAACATGAGCATAAAGGGAAAAATGGAAGATTAAAAATGATCCAGATGGAATGTCTAGAGATGAAAAATACATCTAAAATGAAAAATATACTGAATGGAATAGCAGATTAGATGCTACAGAAGAAAAGATTAAGGAACCTTAATAAGACATCTAAAATGAAGCAGGGAAAGAAAAGACTGAGGCTGGGCACGGCGGCTCATGCCTAGAACCCTAGAACTTTGGGAGACTGAGGTGGATGCATCACCTGAGGTCAGGAGTTCGAGAGCAGCCTGGCCCACAGAATAAAACCCCGTCCCTACTAAAAATACAAAAATTAGCCAGCATGGTGGTATACCTGTAGTCCCAGCTACTTGGGAGGCTGAGGCATGAGAATCACTCGAACCTGGGAGACAGAAGTTGCAGTGAGCCAAGATTGTGCCACTGCACTCCAACGTGGGCGACAGAACAAGACTCAGTCTCAAAAAAGAAAAAAAAAAACAAAAAACAAAAAAACAAAACAGAAAAGAAAAAGCCTGAAAAAAGTGAACAGGGCGTCAGTGATCTGAGGAACAATATCAAATGGTCCATCGTATAGGCAGACTGTGTGTCAGAAATAGAAGATGGAAGAGAACCCCAAAATTTGACAAAACAGTGGCCAAATATTTCTAAATTTTATTAAGACTATAACCATTTAGATTGAAAAAGTTTAATAAATCCCAAACAGAACAAAGGTAAGTTGAAAACCATACAAAACCAATCACTATATTTAAGAAGAGATACATTATATGATAAAAACAATAAATAGCTAAGGCAAGATTAATCAAAATTCAGTATAGTGGTTACCTCTGCAGAGAAGGATGGAGAACTCAAAGCTTTAAATGTACTAGTAAATTATTTTTTCTCCTTTTAAATTCATTATTTATAGAGACAAGGTCTCGCTGGTCTCAAACTCCTGGCCTCGAGTCATCCTCCACAGGATTCAGAATCTAGTAGAGAGTTCACGGGTCTTTTTTGTTTGGAGACGGAGTCTCACTCAGTCACCCAGGCTGGAGTGCAGTGGTGCAATCTTAGCTCACTGCAGCCTCCGCCTCCCAGGTTCAAGCGATTATTCGTCTCAGCCTCCCGAGTAGCTGAGATTAGAGGCACCCACCATCATGCCTGGCTAATTTTTGTACTTTTTGTAGAGATGGGACTTCACCATGTTGGCCAGGCTGGTCTCAAACCTCTAACCTCAAGTGATCCACCTGCCTCGGTCTCCCAAAGTGCTGGGATTACAGGCGTGAGCCACGGCGCCCGGCCCACTTTGTGCATTTCTGGTAACATCCCTCCTCCACTAGACTGTGACCTCCACAAGAGCAGGAGCCTGTTTGTCCATGGTTACAGTGCACATCATACACCCTTCATCACTCTGATGCTCTCCACATCCACTTCCTGGTGAAAATGCTAGATCAAAAACAGACCTCTCATCTTACATTCCAGCAAGAAGCAATTTGGTCTGCTGACCCTACCCACGAGGCTGTGTGTGAGCCAGGTGGGCTGGGGGACAGAGACCACCTCCAGCCCAGTGAATCCAAGATGGCCTGCTCCGTGGAAGTGATCAGGTACCCTGGAAGAAACGAAAGAGACTGAGTACCCAAGACCTCAAACTGGGGCTCGTGAATGGTCATAAATGAGCCCCTTCTGCCCCTGTTGTTTTAATCATGTCCACTCCCCTCACTTGGGAGCTTGGGTGGGGGCACCTGGATGTCCATCCCAGTTATACTGAGGTCACTAGTAACACAGATCAAGGTAGTGAAGTAGTGCAGGGTCAGGGTAGGGGTGGGAGGCCAGGGGCAGGCACAGCCAAGGCTGTGTGGCTTCCCCAGAGGCCCAGATAAGCTTGAGCCTGCAGAGGTCCAGCTGCTCTCCTTGGCAGCACTGGGCACATCCATAAATGTTTTCTATGAGCTTTCTGCTCTACAGAGGCAGGTTGCCTTCATGCACCTCTGATTCCTTACTGTCTATGCCAGTTGCCAGAAGATAGAGACATGTCCAGTGGTCTATGTCCAAGAAATGGGAGGTACAGCTAACCCCCATGAGTCCTTCGGGTCTGATGGAGGCACCTCCAAGGGAAGTCTTTCTTCTCTGACACATCGTTTAGTTATCTCCTTACTCCTCGCCATGGGTCTCCACAGCCTTGGTGCGTTCAGTATTGAAGGCTCCAAAAACATTTGCTGAATGAATGTAGAAGTTCAAGACTGCCTCTCCTCTGAGCAGTTGTGAGGTCCAGTGTTCTCTGCCTGGAATCCTCTTCCTTCTTCATTCACCTGTTTAGTTTATTTCAGAATTTGAGTGATAACTATGTGTTACACTCTTACTGGACCCAGGGGTTACCTCCTCCAGAAAGCCTTTCCGACGCTCCCATTTAGGGACTCCTCTTCCCCACGGCCACTGTACTGAGGTGGACCTCTGAGCCCCCAGATCAAGACAGTCTCTTGAACACAGAAACCAGCTCTGTTTCACCTTTCCGTGCTCGGCACACCAGCCTGGGTTCAGGAAACACCCATAGAAGGCACCGTCTTCTTAGGGAAGAGACCACCTCTGGTTGGGATTCTAGCTCTACGCTTGATAGCTTGGCCAAGATCCTTTCTCTTTATCAGTTTGCTGGAGTAAAATGGCCTGCTGAGTCTAGATATGAGATTCTGCGCCTGTCTTAGATCTTCCTTTCCTTCCTAGCCCTCAGTCACCTGGAAAACAGAGCCTGAAAACAAGAACTAGGAATTAGTGTTTTATTTGGAGAGGTGCAAACCCAAGACTTTGGAAATGAGAAAATGGAAGAAAGGCAGAATGGGAAGTAATGCGAGGTGATGTGTTAGCAGGCCAGGGACTGCTTCCTGACAAGCCTTGCGGAGGACACAGCAGTCGTGTCCACCAGCTACTTGGGAGGTCTCCCCATTGATGGTACTGTTTTGGAGAAGTGGTGCCATGCAACAATTTATGAACGGGAGAGGAAAAGGGGGAATTTATCTGCCTGAGTCTCACCTGTCTCCTACTAGTCATATTTCATCCCATAGATATTAACTCCCAGCCTGACACCATGGCTTATGCCTGTAGTCCCAGCATTTTGGGAGGCTGAGGCAGGTAGATCACTTGAGGCCGGGAGTTTGAGATCAGCCTGGCCAACATGGTGAAATCCCATCTCTACAAAAAATACAAAAATAAACCAGGTATGGTGGCACGTGCCTGTAATCCCAGCTACTCGGGAGGCTGAGGCAGAAGAATCACTTGAACCTGGGAGGCAGAGGTTGCAGTGAGCTGAGATCGCACCACTGCACTCCACCCTGGGTGACACAGCAAGACTGTCTCAAATAAACAAGTTTCCACACACTTCTAAGTTTGCTAGCGGCAACTTGGGATCCAGATCCCATGCCCTGTGCTAGGCCACTCCATCCAAGTGTGTGAAGTGGTGGGAAGAAACAGAAACTCTGGGTACGTGGCCAGTGAGTACCAGGGAGAACCTGATGTTTTACATGTGCCATGTCCAATATAGTCCAAAACTGGTTTTTTCATTTTCTGGAAGAAGAAACAAGGCATAGTGATCCGAGACCTTTCCCAAGGTCACATGGCTATTCAGTGGCAAATTCAGGATTGGAAAATAATCTGGCTCTGGAAATTGGATTTTATGTAGCAGGCAAGGGAGTCACTAAAGGGTTTTAAGCTGGGGAGCAACAAGAAATAAAGAGCTTTTTTGTTTGTTTGTTTTGTTTTTGAGATGGAGTCTTGCTCTGTCATCCAGGCTGGAGTCAGTGGCGCGATCTTGGCTCACTGCAATCTCTGCCTCCTAGGTTCAAGCGATTCTCCTGCCTCAGCCTCCTGAGTAGCCGGGATTACAGGTGTGAGCCGCTGCCCTCTGGTCAATAAAGAAGTTTTTTTTACCCCCCAAGACGGAGTTTCACTCTTGCTGCCCAGGGGAGAAGGTTAGACAGCAGAGGCAGGCAGGAGCTGTGCAGAAAAGCCAAAATGAGGAGACTGACCTAAGGACCAGGAGCAGGAGCACCGTCATGCTCCCCATTGTTGGCTTGTGGGTCTGAGGGTCCCAGCCGATGAGTCTTCTGGTGTTGCCTAAGATGGTCGGATCGCATGAACTCTCTGTTGCACTGATCACATTTATATGGTCGATATCTGGTGTGTACCCGAAAATGTCGTCTAAGCTCGTCAGAACGGAAGAAAGACCACTGACAACCTTCCCATTGGCACGAATAGGGCCTCTCACCTGGGAATGACAAGGGAGAAATGGAGTTTAGAATAGATTTAGGAAGGGGTCTGACTCTATGAGGCAGAGCAGTCCAGGCTGAGGATTCAAAAGGGAAGGTCCAGGGAACCAGGGAGGGGCAATGTACTCAGGAGTGCCAGCCCAGGTATCTTGGGACAGTCCTCCCGGATGGCAAGTCAGGGGGCCAGTCTAGCTTAGCTCCAAACTTGGAAGATGAAAGACTCATCCCAAACAATTACCCACCAGTGGTCCAGGACAAATGTAAAGCCCAGAGACTCCTCCATCCCCATCCCACCTGACACCTCCTTCACCTGTGTGCTTGCGCTGGTGGCTCACGAGGTGGGAGCGTTTGGTATAAGCTTTTCCACAGTTTTCGTAGTTGCAGCGGTAAGGCCTGGCCTCTGAGGATTCCCCTCTCCCAGTCCTTTCCTGAGGCCTGGAGTCCTGCTCTGTTGCCTGTGGAGCAGGTGTGGGCTGCTTCGGTAGGAATGGGCCTTCGTGGGAGTCTGGCTGACTCACAAGAGAGTTCTGAGATCCTAAACCCAGGAGTGACTGGGACTCAGCTGGGGGCATCCCAAGGTCATGGGTGTCTTGTCGGGGCAACATCTGAGCCACAGAGAGGAGCACCGCCTGGGCCTCCGTGGGAGGCATGGTTGAGGCCAATGCTGTTTCATCAGAAGGTGCTGTCAAGAGGCCAGGGTAAGGCATGGTAGGGCCCCCAGCATGGGACATCATTGGGATTCCAGTGGAAGCCGAGACTGGCAGCCCACTGGGGTGCATGCTTAGATTGCCACTGAAGGCTCCAGCCACTCCTGGAATATTGGGCTCAACTGTAGGCATTATCTGAGGCTCATTGAACATCGTTGTCTCTTGCTGAGGGGGAGACACTCCTTGACTGTAAATCACCGGGGAAGGAGGGAGACTCGCTTGGGGGCAGTAGCTCACACCATGCTCAGGCAGTACCATGCTAAACGGGGGCCCCTCTTCATCCACATTGTGCCCCGGCACCTCCACAGACACCAAGGGGGGCCCCAGCATCCCTGTGCTGTGAGGAAAGTGCTGAACGCTTGGTAGGCCATGCTTCCAAGAGGGGTGCACTCCAGAGCTTCCAGTAGATGAAGCCACGTTCAAGGTGGGCGCTGAGCTCTCGTTATCCTTGGGGAGAGAGACAATCAGGTGATTTTTACCCTTGCTCAAATTCCAGTTCCATATGTTCCTCCTCTTCATCCCCAGACCCCAACCTAATCCAGCCCTCTATCTCCATCTCTTGCTTGAATTCTCCTGCCTCCAACCGTTTTCCAGCTTGGCCTTTCTAACAGGTCCGGCTGATACAGGCCCCAAGAAAGCCTAAATGTAACTCATGCCACTTTCCCTCAGACATGTTTTTTGCTTTTTATTACATGCAAAGCAACAAAGAGAGCAAATAAAACATCCCATAACCTACACCTTCAACAAAACTCTGAGAAAATCTTCAAACGCTAAATATCGAGGCGGAGTTTTGCTCTTGGTGCCCAGGCTGGAGTGCAGTGGTGTGATCTCGGCTCACACAACCTCCACCTCCAGGTTCAAGCGATTCTCCTGTCGTAGCCTCCCAAGTAGCTGGGATTACAGGCATGCAGCACCACACCCGGCTGATTTTGTATTTTTAGTAGGAACAGCTTTCTCCATGTTAGTTAGGCTGGTCTCAAACTCCTGACATCAGGTGATCTGCCTGCCTTGGCCTCCCAAAGTGCTAGGATTACAGGCGTGAGCCACTGCACCCGGCCCAAACTCCAAATTATACATAAAAGGGATGGGGGTTGTCCAGAAGTTAGGGGCAATACCTCTTGATGACTTGCATGAAGGGTAAGAAAGAGATTGGCAGTAGAAGGTCTTAAAGTAGGATAAGAGCCAAGAATCTTTTTTTTGTTGTTTTTTTTTTTGAGACGGAGTTTCGCTCTTGCTACCCAGGCTGGAGTGCAATGGCGCGATCTCAGCTCACCGCAACCTCCGCCTCCTGGGTTCAGGCAATTCTCCTGCCTCAGCCTCCTGAGTAGCTGGGATTACAGGCACGCACCACCATGCCCAGCTAATTTTCGTATTTTTTTTTTAGGAGAGACTGGGTTTCACCATGTTGACCAGGATGGTCTCGATCTCTTGACCTTGTGATCCACTCGCCTCGGCCTCCCAAAGTGCTGGGATTACAGGCTTGAGCCACCGTGCCCGGCCTAGAATCATCTTTTTAAAGACTGTCAGTAGGCCAGGTGCAGTGGCTCACAACTGTGTAATCCCAGCACTTTGAAAGGCCAAAGCAGGTGGATTGATTGAGCTCAGAAGTTTCAAAGGAAAAAAAAATCAGCTGGGTGTGGTGGCTCGTGCCTGTAGTCCCAGCTACTTGGGAGGCTGAAGTGGGAGAATCACTTGAGCCCAGGAGGCATAGGTTGCAGCGAGCTGAGATGGGGCCATTGCACTCCAGTCTGTGCTGACAGAGACCCTGTCTCAAAAAAACCAAGCAACAACAACAAAAGTACCCAGCTGGGCACAGTGGCTAACGCCTATAATCCCAACAATTTGGGAGGCCAAGGCAGGTAGATCATGAGGTCAGGAGTTCAAGACCAGCCTGGCCAAGATGGTGAAATCCCATCTCTACTAAAAATACGAAACTTAGCTGGGCATGGTGGTGCATGCCTGTAGTCCCAGCAACTCAGGAGACTGAGGCAGAAAATTGCTTGAACCCAGGAGGCAGAGGTTGCAGTGAGCTGAGATCACGCCACTGCACTCCGGCCTGGCAACAGAGTGAGACTGTCTCAAAAAAACAAAACAAAACAAAACAAAACAAAATAAAAACCAAAGTATCCATAAGATACTAAACTATCAAGACAAATTGAAGATTGCAATTTTTTCAAAAAATATCACCAGAAAATTGTTGTACAAATCAAGGGTAAATGTAACAACATTCAAACACAAGAAAGAAGAAAGAAAGAGAGAGAGAGAAGGGAGGGAGGGAAGAAGGGAGAGAAGGGAAAGAAAGAAAGCGAGAGAAAGAGAGAAAGAAAGAAAGAAAGAAAGAAAGTGAGAGAAAAGGAAAGAAAGAGAGAAAGAAAGAGAAAAGGAAAGAGAGAGAAAGAGAAAGAAGAGAGAGAGAAAAAGAAAGAGGCCCGGTGCAGTGGCTCATGCCTGTAATCCCAACACCCAGCACTTTGGGAGGCCGAAGTTGAGTGGATCACTGAGGTCAGGAGTTCAAGACCATCCTGGCCAACACGGTGAAACCCCGTCTCTACTAAAAATACAAAAATTAGCTGGGCGTAGTGGCACACGCCTGCAGCCCCAGCTACTCAGGAGGCTGAGGCAGGAGAAACGCTTGAAACTGCGGAGGTTGCAGTGAGCTGAGATTGCACCACTGCACTCCAGCTTGGGCAGCAGAGTGAGACTTCATCAAAAAAAGAAAGAAAAGGAAAGAGGAAAGGAAGGGAAGGGAAGGGAAGAGGAAGAGGAAGGAAGGAAAGAAGGCAAAACTTAAAAGCAATTACAACTTTTGCAGCAAAGTTACAGGAACATCACAGGTCAGAAACAGGGAAATTCAAAGAAGTTACATCCAGACAACAGGATAGGAATTATATTCGAGAGTAAGGGAATGGGGCAAAGGTAAGAAAGGTGCACTGGAGGGGCTTCTATTTCTTGACCTGACTGATAGTCTCACAGGTTTTTACTTTATAAGAGTTCATTACTTTGTGGAAGCTGCACTTATATTCACTTTTCTGTTTGAGTGCTATTTTTAGTAATATGGTTTAAAATAAGAGTTGCTGGGCACAGTGACTCATGCCTATGATCCTAGCTCTTTGGGAGGCCCAGGTGGGAGGATCGCTTGAGGCCAGACCTGAGCAACATAGTGAATCCTCACCTCTACAAAGAAAAAAAAAGGGATGGTAGCATACACCTGTGGTCCCAGCCACTCAAGAGGCTGAAACGGAAACGATCACTTGAGCCTGGGAGGTCAAAGCTGCAGGGAGCTGTGATCACATCACTGAAGTCCAGCCTGGGTGACAGTCTCAAAAAAATAATAATAATGCTAAATTTAAATAGGAAATATTCTATACAAATTCACAATGTGTGTGTATATATATGTATATATATACATATTCTAACTCTGCCCATTAGAAATTGTGACTCTAATAACAATGCATGGTGGCTTATACCTGTAATCCCAGCACTTTGGGAGGCCAAGGCGGGTGGATCACAAGGTCAAGAGATCAAGACCATCCTGGCCAACGTGGTGAAACCCCGTTTCTACTAAAAATACAAAAATTAGCTGTGCATGGTGGCGCATGCCTGTAGTCTCAGCTGCTCAGGAGGCTGAGGCAGGAGAATCACTTGAACCAGGAAGGCAGAGGTTGCTGTGAGCCAAGATTGTGCCACTGCACTCCAGCCTGGTGACAGAGTGAGACTCGGGTCTCAAAAAAATAAAATAACAATGTGTGCCTCTAGAGCCTAGACTTGTCTCTAATTCTATTCCTTGCTAAAAGTTAGACCAAGAATTTCCTGACTCCAAGACTGAGAAAAAAAATGGAAGGTTGAAGGGAGCCTGGTTCATTTTGTGCCAGAAAATAAGGGAGCTTTCAAAGATTAGGACTGGGTCAAAGGAGACAGGAAGTGATATCAAGGAAGATGGCAGGGTAGGAGACCAGGACCCCGTATCCCCAGCATGATAACTATCGCACTGGCAGCATTTGTCGGCTGTAAGTTGTTTGGAACAATGCAGGGTATTAAAGGCTTGTAACTCCCAAGGGAAGGCTTTGAGAGTAAGTTGTAGTTAATTTTGATCAACCTAAACTCTTAGGTAGGTAATGGCTACCCATATACACCCTATGTTCCTGGAGCAACTTGCACGCAGCTTGCAGGAGCCAGAGTAGGCAATAAAAACCTTGTCCTCCAACTATTGGGGATCTATGTCCTGATTGTTATTTGCTGTTTCTGATTATGAGGTGCAGATAGAGGTAGGCAGCCATTGTTGCAACTCAGCCCCCAATGTTACAACTCCCTCCCTTTCCCACTCAAGAGACTTCCAAATATGAATACAAACATCCAAGAGGCTCAATACAATTCAAGTAAGATAAACTCACAGACCCATACCAAGAAACATTATAATAAAACTGTTGAAAGCCCAAGACAAAGAGAGAATCTTGAAAATATCAAGAAGTGACTCATCACTTATAGGGGATCCCAAAACCTTGGAAACTAAAAGAACACAAGTTGATATATTCAAAGTGCTAAAGGAAAAACATAAAACTATCAAGCAACCTATATCTGGCAAAACTGTCTTTCCAAAATGAGGAAGAAATTAGACATTCCCAGATAAACAAAAGCTGAGAGGTCATTACCACTAGACATGCCCTGCAAGAAATGCTAATGGCAGTCCCTCAGGTTGAAATGAAACGACGCTAGGCAGTAGCTGGAAGCCATGTGAAGAAATCTGTCATAAGAAAAATTTCTCGTAAGGGTAAATATATGGACTATTGTAAAAGTGAGTATTATTATAACTTTGATTGATAACTCCGCGTTTTGTTTCCTCCATGATTTAAAAGTGCATTAAAGGCCAGGCGCGGTGGCTCAAGCCTGTAATCCCAGCACTTTGGGAGGCCGCGGCGGGTGGATCACGAGGTTGAGATTGAGACCATCCTGGTCAACATGGTGAAACCCCGCCTCTACTAAAAATACAAAAAATTAGCTGGGCATGGTGGCGTGTGCCTGTAATCCCAGCTACTCAGGAGGCTGAGGCAGGAGAATTGCCTGAACCCAGGAGGCGGAGGTTGCTGTGAGCCGAGATCACGCCATTGCACTCCAGCCTGGGTAACAAGAGCTAAAACTCCATCTCAAAAAAAAAAAAGTGCATTAAAATTTATACTTTTATTTTTTGACATACGATGCATACAAATGCAATTTTGTGAGATCAGTCACTGAAAAGAGGTGGGAATTGAGCTATACAGAAGCAGTTTATATGTGCTGTTGAAGTTAATCTGGTATAAATTCAAATTAGAATAACTAGGATGTCAAATGTAATCCTCAGGCAACCACAAAGAAAATAGCTAGAGAAGAATATATACAAAAGGAGCCAGGCACAGTGGCTCACGCCTGTAATCCCGGCACTTTGGGAGGCTGAGGTGAGTGGATCACTTAAGGTCAGGAGTTTGAGACCAGCCTGGCCAACAAGGTGAAACACCATCTACTAAAAATACAAAAATTAGCTGAGTGAAGTCACAGCTTCTTGGGAGGCAAGAGAATCACTTGAACCAGGAGGCGGAGATTGCAGTCAGCTGAGATGGAGCCATTACACGCCAGCCTGGGCGACAGAGGGAGACTACGCTCAAAAAAATAAAGAATATTTACAAAAGGAAATTGTGTTATAAGGAAATGTAAGTTTCACTGCCAAAAAACGATCAATTGAACAAAAAGACAATGCTAGAAATGAGGAACAAAATGGCAGAATTAAATCCTTCCTTGCCAGTAAAATACTTTGGAAAGTAAATGAATAATACTTTCCAAAAGACAAATTGGCAGAATGGATTAAAAACATGATCCAAATAAATGCTGTGTATATATTTAGATCCAAACACCACAATAAACCAACTAGATCTAACAGACACACACAGAAACACTCTACTCAACAGTAGAATACACATTCTTTGAAAGTGCCCATGGGCCATTCTTTAGAAAACCATACAGTACTTCCTACTTTTACAGAAGAATACAAATTAGGTCTTGACAGATTTAAAGAAAAAGACAAGTTTTCTCTTGCCGGTTTTAGAAAAAAAGCAAAAAAACAAAACAAAACAAAAAAAAAAACCAAAAAAACCGTATCGTACAAAGTATCTTCCCTGACCCACAATCAGATAAACTAGAAAACTTACAAATCTGTAGAAATTAAACAGCATTCTCTGAAACAATCAATGGGTCAAATAAAAAGAAAAGTACAACAGAAACTAGAAAATACTTAGAGACCAATAAAAAGGAAAACATAACTACCAAAACCTATGGGATGCAGCAAAAGCAGTGATAAGGGGAAAATCTACTGGTTTAAATGCTTACAATAAAAAAGAATATACCTGTAATACCAGCACTTTGGGAGGCCAAGGCGGGTGGATCACAAGGTCAGAAATTCAAGACCAGCCTGGCCAAGATGGTGAAACCCCATCTCTACAAAAAAATATAAAATTTAGCCAGGCATGGTATCAGGTGCCTACAGAATCCCTGCTACACCGGAGGCTGAGGCAGAGATTTGCTTGAACCTTGGAGACAGAGGTTGCAGTGAGCCAAGATCATACCACTGTACTCTAGCCTGGGCAATAGAGCGAGACTCCATCTCAAAAAAAAAAAAATTGAAAATAGCCAGGTGTGGCGGCAAGTGTCTGTAGTCCGAGCTACTCCAGAGGCTGAGGTGTGAGTAGTAAATCACAGCTCATTTTGGGCTGGCATGCAGTGGTATCATCATGGCTCACTGCAGCCTCAAGTGACAAAAGCCCAGCTATTATCCAAACTTTGAACACTGCTAATTGAAGTGAATAAATTAAGCATTTATTCTGTCTCTCCAAGAAAAAAATCATTTCAAAATTACCAAATGACTACAGTTAAAACCTACTTCCTACTTTACAGAAGAATACAAACTAATAAACGTAGAATGAATGGTGGAATTAGAAAATTTATTTTGCTGCCAGATGCAATGGCTCTCGCCTTTAATCCCAGCTACTGGGGAGGCTGAGGCACAAAAATCGCTTGAACATGGGAGGCAGAGGTTACAGTGAGCCGAGATCACACTACTGCACTCCAGCCTGGGGACAGAGAGGGACTGTCTCAAAAAAAAAAAGGAAAATAAAATTTATTTTGCAACCCCTAAGGAAATTTGATTGAGGAAAAATTTAAACTTGGTGTTAAAGCCAGTAGGTGACCCTGGCCAGGCACGGTGGCTCATGTCTATAATCCCAGCACTTTGGGAGGTCGAGGCTGATGAATCATGAGGTTAGGAGATCAAGATCATTCTGGCCAACATGGTGAAACCCCCGTCTCTCTACTAAAATACAAAAAATTATCCAGGCATGATGGATGGTGCATGCCTATAGTCCCAGCTACTCAGGAGGCTGAGGCAGGGGAATTGCTTGAACCCAGGAGGCAGAGGTTGCAGTGAGCTGAGATTGCACCACTGCACTACAGCCTGGCAACAGCAAGATTCCATGTCAAAAAAAAAAACAAAAACAAAAACCAGATGAATGGCTGGTAGAGTACTGGACATTGAATACATACAAAGCAGAATCACACAGATTCCTTTCTGACCACAGGGTAAACTTTAATAGCTGAATTAGGCTTTTCACTACCTTAATACAAGTATCACCAAATTTGGGTAGCCAGATATGTCTCCTGATATAATGCAAGATGAAGCCTACCGTACACATGAGGCACTCTTGCCAAAAATCTTGAATCCAATTAAGCTGTAAGATCTAATCCTAATTAAAGGTAATACAAGTGATAGAAGATAAAGCTAAATTATATCATGAGGAAGCAATCTGATATCTCCAAAAGGAACATCCTGTAACACAAAAGTTAGCATCATGAAAAACCAAATCCCAATCATGAAAAAATAAAACTATTTTTTCTAACTTCAGAGACTCAAGGGACATAATCACCAGATGCAGATGCAGTGTGTGGTCTTAAATTCTGGTTTGGACAAACCAGATACAAAGTACATTTAGGAACAGCTAGGATTTAAAGGATTTATCAGCTGGGTGAGGCAGCTCATGCCTGTAATCCCAGTACTTTGAGAGGCTGAGGCGGGTGGATCACTTGAGGGCAGGAGCTAGAGATCAGCCTGACCAACACAGCAAAACACCTCTACTAAAAATACAAAAAATTAACTGGGCGGAGTGGCACACACCTGTAATCTCAGATACTTGGGAGGCTGAGGCATGAGAACCGCTTGAACCTGAGAAGTAGAGGTTGCAGTGAGCCCAGATCACACCACTGCACCCCAGCCTGGACAAGAGCCGAGACCCTGGCTCTCTCTATATAATATATGATATATTAAATATATTAATTATTAATATATTAAATAATAAAAATAATGTATCTAATTTTGATAGGTTTGATTATGTGGTTTTGGCTATAGATGAAATGATCTTTTTTTAAAAAAAAAAACCCTAGAAGAGTTGGGAAGATCTTGTTTTGTTTTGTTTTTAATTTAATTTTTTTTTTTTTGAGACAGAGTTTCGCTCTTGTTACCCAGGCTGGAGTGCAATGGCGGGATCTCGGCTCACCGCAACCTCCGCCTCCTGGGTTCAGGCAATTCTCCTGCCTCAGCCTCCTGAGTAGCTGGGATTACAGGCACGTGCCACCATGCCCAGCTAATTTTTTTGTATTTTTAGTAGAGACGGGGTTTCACCATGTTGACCAGGATGGTCTCGATCTCTTGACCTCGTGATCCACCCGCCTCGGCCTCCCAAAGTGCTGGGATTACAGGCTTGAGCCACCACGCCCGGCCTTTATTTTTAATTTAATTAATTTTAGAGACACCTTCGGTCACAAAAGCTTTCTAACTATTGCCCTTGAATCCAGCCCACATGCACCAGGTCACTCCTTTGAAAATGCAAATCTAATCGAGCCAGATCATGTTTAAACTCATCAATGGCTTCCTACTGTTCTTGGAATAAGCAAGCCCTGAATGACCTTAGTGGTGTCTCTGGACGCTCCCCCACCTCCCCACCCCTCCCCCCATCACTGTCTAGACACTGGTCTTTTAGTTCCTCCTAAGAGGAAGCAGACAGCCTCTGGTCTCAGACCTGGAAAACCTTCACTTGGCCAGTTCTGTTCTCTAGTCCCAGACCAGATTCTCAGCTGTCTTCTAAGCTCCCAAATCAGGTGAAACACCTCTGGTATCTGTTCCCATGCGCCCATGACTTCTCCTTCTTGTATGCTGTACATTTCCAATTTATTTATTTATATTCTTTAGAGACGGGGTTTCACCATGTTTGGCAGGCTGGTCTTGAACTCCTAACCTCAAGTGATCCACCCTCCTCGGCCTCCCAAAGTGCTGGGACTACAGGAGTGAGCGCCTGGCCTCGGCTAATGATTTATTAATAAAATTATATATATATATTTGTTTCATGGTAAATTCATCATCATATTCCAAGGGTCCGGCAAAAGCTTTCCACTTAGTAGGGCTCCAATTAACATTTTTGGTTTTTTTTCCTGGGCGTTTTCTGCTCACTTCCTAACCTGATCTTTGCTGTTCTGCGTACTCACGTCCCCCGCCAGAAAGTTGCCTGGGACCTTCTTACCCTCCACACGCCCGACACGAGCTCTACTGCTGAGCGAACATTATTGGAATAAACGACGTATGATATTTACACCTCAATCTTCCAACCCTCCCTTTCCACCCTTCCCTTTGCAACCCCTCCCCTCGGGTTTCTGCTTCCCTGGCCTCCCCTCTCCTCCACTGCCTCCCCGCCCCGCCGACCCTCCCCGGCCAGCCTGGGGCTGACACCTGACTCACCGGGGCGGCCTCGTGCGCCGCCTGCCACCGGCTCAGCTCCCGAGTCTCCTGCTCCATGTCGGCCTGCGCGCGGCTGTACATGAAGACTTGGTGGGGTCTATGCTCTCTGCTGAACAGACGGGGAACCTGCCACCACGGCGTCTCAAACGGGTATCCGGACATCACCACGCCACAATCACCTTCTATTTACCTATTTACAGCTGCGCCAGGGGGCGGAGTCAACCCCACCGATCCCTCCCTGCGCCGACCCCGCCCTGCCCCAGGCCGCCCAAGGGCCCTCAGTAAGCCCCCACCGAGGCAGCGTCACTGACAGCCACCGTAGGCCTTGACCGCTTCTTAAAGGAATTTTGTCCGCCCACGCAACCCACCCATTCCACCCTTCAGTCTGAACTACCGTTTCACCCAAGTGGAGGCTGGGAACGCGCAGGTCTCAAGACTCCAGCCAGGAGGAGGCTGGAGAGAGAGGCAAGGCCGGGTGCAGGGCCTTCTGCCGCGAGGAGAGCCTCCGCCAGCACTCTACCAGGTCGGGATCTTGCCCTAAGCTTTGGGAGGACTGGAGCTCTTCTGCTACAGGCCGGGCACCTCTGTGCCTTGTCTGTACAAAAACTGAAGACTGGAGGCCGGGCGTGGTGGCTCACGCCTGTAATCCCAGCACTTTGGGAGGCCGAGGCGGGTGGATCACGAGGTCAAGAGATCGAGACCATCCTGGTCAACATGGTGAAACCCCGTCTCTACTAAAAATACAAAACATTAGCTGGGCATGGTGGCACGTGCCTGTAATCCCAGCTACTCAGGAGGCTGAGGCAGGAGAATTGCCTGAACCCAGGAGGCGGAGGTTGCGGTGAGCCGAAATCGCGCCATTGCACTCCAGCCTGGGTAACAAGAGCGAAACTCCGTCTCAAAAAAAAAAAAAAACAAAACAAACAAACAAACAAACAAAACGGAAGACTGGGAGCTTCATGACACAATCTATTTATTCCAGTGTTTACTGAGTGCCCAGTATGTGTTGGGCACTGACCTCTGAATTAGGGATAAAATCGTAAACAGGAAGAACAAAGTCCTTGCTGTCAATCTCCATCTTACATGGGCAGACAAGAAATGAGTAATAAAGTTCATAACTATTATAATTTTAGATGGTGGTGAGTGCTATGGAAAACCGAAACAGAGAAATGTGGGCTCAAAGCTACATGCCTGAAAGGAGCCAGCCAGAGGAAAGTCCAAAGGCTCTAAGGCAAGAAAGAGCCGGACAGTGCTAGAAGGAAATTGAAGGCAGGGCGACCACAGTGATACCACAAGGGCAGTGACACGAGGACAGAGGGATAGGGCCTTGAAGTCCATAGAACGGGGTTTGGATTTTATTCTAAGTGTGGTGGGAAAGCACTGATGGATGTTAAACAGGAAACTGGTATGATCTGATACATGTTTTTAAAAATAAACCATTTGGCTCCTTATCAATTATAAAGGGCAAGAGGGATGCAGAGACAGCAGTTAGAAATCTAAAGGAGCAGGCTGGGCACGGTGGCTCACACCTGTAATATCAGCATTTTGGGAGGCCAAGGCAGGCGGATCACGAGGTCAGGCGTTCGAGACCAGCCTGCCCAACATGGTGAAACCCCATCTCTACTAAAAATACAAAAATTAGCAGGGCATGGTGCCACACACCTGGAATCCCAGCTACTCAGGAGGCTGAGGCAAAAGAATCACTTGAACCTGGGAGGCAGAGGTTGCGGTAAGCCGAGAGTGTGCAATTGTGCTCCAGCCTGGGCCACAGAGCGAGACTCCATCTCAAAAAAAGAACAAAGAAAGAAAGAAATCTAAAGGAGCTGTCTAAGAAAGGGATGTCAGTGTTTGGTCATGGAGGTGGTACCCACCACCTGTAGTCCCAGCTACTCAGGAGGCTGAGGCAGGAGAGCACTCAAGCCCAGGAGTTCCAGGTTGTAGTGTGCTGTGCTGACCGGGTGTTCACACTAAGTTCAGCATCAATATGGTGAACTCCCAGGAGTGGGGCGCCAGCAGGTTGCCTAAAGAGGGATGAACTGGCCCAGGTCAGAAACGAAGCAGGTCCAAACTCCTGTGCTGAACAGTAATGGGATCACTGCACGTGTGAACAGCCAGTGCACTCCAGCCTTGGCAACATAGTGAGACCCCATTTCTTAAAAAAAGAATGAAAACCAGGACTTGTAAGGGACCAGAAGTGGGTAGGGAGGAAGAAAAAGAGGAATCAAAGAGGCTCCTAGATTATTAGCTTGAGCAACTACGTGATGATTTTGCCACTTGGTATATTGAAAGATAGGAAGAGGAGCAGATTTGGAGGTGGCTGAAACAAAACTTCCATTTTAGACATCGATTTTGAGATGTCTATTAATTATTCTTAGAGAAGGTCAGGGCTGTAAATGTAAACTTGGGCATTAGATGGTTATAAGGCCGTTAGAGAGGATGCTATCAACTCCAGAGGTAGTCTGAAGACAGGACAGAAGACAGAGCCTGGGGACTCCTACATTTAAGGCCCAGGGGAACAGCAAAGTCATCCAAAGAGACTGACAAGTTGAGATAAACAGGTAAGTGACTACTGGATTTGGCAAGACAGAGATCGCTGGTGACTGGCAAAACCAAGTGCAGTAGGATGGAAGCGGATTGGAGCAGGCTGCAAAGGGAGCAGGAGTTGATGGAGTGGGACACTGTCTCCAAACAACTCTTTCAAAGAAGTTTTGCTGTGAATGAGAGCAGAAAAATGAGGTGGCAGTTAAGGGAGGGCCTATGATAGGCTGATGAGGCTGCTCCGAAGGAGAAACTGATACAGAAAGAGAGGGCTCAATTATAAGAGCAAAGTCATTGATGAATCAAGAAAGGACAGGATCTGGAGTACCGTTAGCCAAGTGGGCCTTTGGTGAGAGCAGGGACATTGGCTCTATTATAACCAGTGGGGTAAGAAGGGTCTTATGGTGTCTTAGGGTCCCCAGCTACTAGCATGGAGTGGGGCTGAGAGCAGGCCGTTGAGAAACACTGGCTAATGATTCTATGGCTAACACCTGCTCAGCTGGCAACCCCAGTTTCACCTCCTGGGGCCATCTCTGACTCCCATTTGAAGCCTCTTTCAGTTCCCACATACCTAGTGTTTCTCCCAACTTGGCATTTACGAAATATTTGTGGAATGGATCATATTTGACACACAGAGCAGATCATTTTTCATACCCCCTCCTCTAAAGATAAAATTATTTCCATAATTCAAATTTTATATTTTCAAATGACCATAAAATAAAACAAATTATAATAGTGGCCAGAAAAAGGAAAGGTAAAAGTGAAAATATTATTTGCCAAAACTTTGTATATATACTCACATCATAAAATAAATATATAAAATTAATAGTATGGTTCCAAAAAATTAAAAATGCACAACTATTTATTTCAATCACTTTCACATCTACCTGTTTAAATTTTGATCCTTTCCTTACAGTCTGATACACTCCCTTACGTAAATGATCATCCAGCAACCAACAATTAAATTTTAATAAAACCAAAACATAGTCCTGGCATGGTGGTTCAGGCCTGTAATCCCAGCACTTTGGGAGGCCAGGGCGGGCGGATTACCCAAGGTCGGGAGTTCGAGACCAGCCTGACTAACATGGAGAAACCTGATCTCTACTAAAAAAATACAAAAGTCTCCAGGTGTGGTGATGCATGACTGTAAACCCAGCTACTCAGGAGGCTGAGGCAGGAGAATCGCTTGAACCCAGGAGGCGGAGGTTGCAGTGAGCTGAGATCACGCTATTGCACTCCAGCCTGGTCAAAAAGAGGGCAACTCTGTCTCCCAAAAAAATAAATAAATGAAACCAAACATGACATAATTACAATTAAGGTGATAATACTTAGGCTATAACATTTATTTCCCTTATTTATCTTTCTCTTTAAAACCATTCACAAGTTTAAAGGAATAGGTTTTCATTTCAAAGGTAAATTTTTATTCAAATTCAGTAAAATATTTCATGTACCAACTAAAAATTTTCATGTAACAAACAAAAACGGTTTGCCTTCAGTTTGCACTCTCTGTTGCACTGTTTTAACACAGAAGTCCAACTGGTTGCATAGAATGACAGAACTGAAAAAAGTCAAGCCCTGTTTGTCTTTATCATCATTGACAGTTACTCATGATTGTTTATTCTGAATCTACTGCGTAAACTTGGATGTATCTAATACCACAGGGGTTGAACATGTGACCCTTGCCTAAAGTGGGCTCCAAACGTGGGCTTTAGTGTGACCATATAACTGAGCATTCTCCAAATGAACTTCCACATAGAATACAATGTTTATTAAAGGATCACTGCAAAGACTAAGAATGCAAAATAAATAAATAAATAAAAATTTTGAAAAGGATTGCTAATGAAAATGTGTTAGTGTGAAGTTTACATGTACAAATAAAATCCAGTATCCACAACAATTATTTAGAACTGAAACCAACAGAAGATTTTTTTTGAGAGAAGTATTTCTTTTTTTCTTTTTCTGAGACTGAGTTTTGCTGTGTCGCCCAGGCTGGAGCGCAGTGGTGTGATCTGGACTCACTGCAACCTCTGCCTCCCGGGTTCAAGATTCTCATGCCTCAGCCTCCCGAGTAGCTGGGATTACAGGCTCATGCCACCATGCCTGGCTAATTTTTGTATTTTTTCAGTAGAGACGGGATTTCACCATCTTGGCCAGGCTGGTGTTGAACTCCCAACCTCAGGTGATCCACCAGCCTCAGCCTCCCAAAGTGCAGGGATTATAGGCGTGAACCACCATTCCCAGCCTTTGAAGAGGAGTATTTCAAAAGACATTATTTAAAATCGCTGGTGCACAGCAATGATAAAAGGTAGACCAACTTTTAGTTGAATCTATTATTGTTAAGTCTTTTATAGATACGCACCCCTTCTAGCCTGCATGTGGACAGACTGCTACCACTGCCCACTTTAGTGTGCCAAGGGGCTGAAAGTCTTCTTGACCCTGCCAGATGGCCCTGTATTATCTCTGTCTGGAATGCTCTTCCTCCATTTCTTCATCTACTAACTCCATTTGTTTTACTAACATTTAATGAGTGTTTATTATAGGCTACTCTCCCTTAGGGTCACCTGCTCCAGGAAGCCTTTGCTGCACCCTGGCCTC